GCGGGTGGACGGGCAAGTGGACCGGCCTGCGGGCGGGTGGACGGGCAAGTGGACCGGCCTGCGGGCGGGTGGACGGGCCTGTGGAGGAGCGGACCTGCCTGTGCGTGTGTGTGGGGAGCGGGGGGCAGGGAGGGGGAGAGTGGTTCTTGCTCTTCCTGCAAAGAGCTTTGCAGGCAGTGCCTGTGGCCTGCGCATCTTTCCCGCCAGATCACGAGTCCCCGGCCTCTGTGGCGGAAGGCGGGGCACAGGACGACTCCAAGTGAGAGACTTTCCCACGAAGGGATTTCTCTGCCCTTCGCGTTGTGCTTTCATGCAGGCCTCTGCCTCGGACCTTCATGCCCAGGCGATGGAGGGCCCGCGGTGCCCTGGGGAGGGGCAGGGAGGAGTCACACATAAGACACTGTCCCCCGAGTGGCACCCACATCTGTTTGTATCTGTAGCCCAGAGGGTCTCACAGAGCTTGGCTGCCTGCAGAGTAGGGGGCTGCTCCCAGCTCTCCTCTCCCTGTCCAGACACCCGCTCCTGGCCTTTGCCCACAGATACTGGGCAGCCCGCGGGAGTCACCTGCACACATCCCACCACCAGGGTCTGTCCCTGCAACCTGCTGGGTTTCCAGCCAGATGTCAGGTGGCGGCCTGATGGTCCCATGGGGTTACAGCCAGGTTCCCGGAGCAGGCTCCTCCCTGCTGGGGCCAGGGCCGGGGGGTGGAGGGGGCCTTCCTCTCTCCTCCCGTCTCCTCCCCTCTTCTCATAACGGAAAATGCTGAAGGCGCGGAAATTCCCAAGAGCGGCTGAGCGAATGGGGCCTGAAAGCCAGAGGGCATGGTCGCCCGCCGGTAAAGGGGCAGCTGTGCTGCCTTAGATCAGCTGGAAACAAGCAGCTGCTGCTCCCCGTTGAGGCTCACGGTCAGCTGCTCCCAGCCCCGTGGGCACCGTGGCCGCCGGAGCCCAGGCCTCACCAGAGAGCAGGGTTAGCGGCCACCAGTGGGGTCTGGGCATCGGTGCCTCTCAAAGCTCCGGGTTGATGCCACTTTCAGCGGAGGCTGAGCGTGTGCTGTGTGCCAGGGGCCGCGCTCCGCCTCCCCCAGGCACGTGCACCTGCACGGGGCCCAGTGGATCTGGTGTCCCTTTGGCCCCACCCCCGTTGGGGCAGGTTAGGGTGATACTTTTGTCTCCAGTTTATTTCTTGCAAAAACGGTTTGGAGGGTATTGTGGTTCTTACTGCTCAATAGCAAACCACCCCAACATGGCAGCGCTCACCCGCCAGGTGAGCGCACGGCTCGTGGGGCAGGAGTGTGAACGGGTCACTGTGGGAGCGGCTCGCTTGGGGTGGCCGTCCGGCAGACCGGGGTCTGGCTGCTTTCTGGCTGGTGGCTTCTGGTGGCTTCTCTGTCTGCATCTCTGGTGCCTGGGCCAGGCTGGCCCGACAGATGGTCACGCGGGCCTGTCCCCCAGAGCCCTGCCCGTGCCTGCCCGTGGCCCATCCTCAGCGCCAGGCGGAGGCTGCAGGGCCTTGGAACGCAGGGGCATCGCTTCCCTTGGGCTCTCGCTGACGTGGGCACAGGCCCACCCAGGTTCCAGAACGGTGTTGCAGGTAGAGTTGACACGATTCAGTGATGGACTGAAAACAGACAGCAAAGGCAGGGATTGTTGCGATGCCAATGCTACGTGTCATGTGACATAAAAAGAAAACAGGAAAATGCCATGTGCGTCATTATCACCGTGCGTGTAGGCGAGGGCTTGACGCAGCCTGCAAACGTGGAACTTTCTGTGCAGGTGGTGGGAGCATGGCATTTCATCCTTCATCTGCATCCTAGTCATTGTGCTCACTCCTCTTACACCTCCGCACAGCTCACTCAGCCTGGGCACTGCCAATCCCCGGAGCATGGCTGGATAGCGGCCCTGCATGACCCGATTAGCGGGGTTGCTTTCCAAGCACCTGGTCCCTGCCTTCTGGCTTGGAGAACCCCGGTGCCGCGCCCGCTGTGGCCCTACGGGGTCTCCAGGCCCTGGCGTCCCAGGGTTACGATGAGGAGTGGGCAGGGGCCGCCTGCTCCGGGATCTAATCTCCTTTCTCTTCCCTTCAGGCGTTCGATATCATGAGAGTGACGCACGGCCGGGAGCACAGGCTGATTGAAGACCTGATTCTGCTCTTGGAAGAGTGCGACGCCAACATCAGAGCATCCTGAGGGCCCGCAGGAAGGACGCTCCTGCCCCCGCCTTCCCGCGCCGCACGCTCCGCACGCCTGCTGTGTGGCCCTCCCCGCCGGCAATGCTCTCCGTGTGTGTAGGTAAACAAGGCCAACACGCGGTGTGCGGGCCACACGCATCAGTAGTCGTAGAGAAGCACGATTATAATAAACACAAGAAACTTGGTTGAAAATGCCATCTGGTCATTGTTTCCTTTGCTTACTCACAGGTAATTGTAACATTTAAGATTGGGCATTAATGATGGAAAGTCATGTTGAAAGCATAGCAGAGTAAGTGTTAGCATTCTCCTTGGATGTCCTTAGGGGTAATAAGTAAAAATCAGCGTTTCCCCATTTGCTTCCCGCGGGCCCGTCCCTCTGGGCCAGAGCAGAGTGTCCAGGTGTTGTCTTCACTGTGTGTGTTACAGGGTTCTGTGTCCATGACGCATTTCCAAAGGCGACTCAACACAGGACGTTCCATCCTGAGCCCCAGGAAGGGGTCATGTTAGTTGCTAGAAAGGATGAGGGAGTCCCAGTGCAAAGGAAACTGTTTCCTGATGTCTGTGGCTCCGTGGTAGCTCTCGCATTCTCGGCACTTGTAAGCCTGTGTGTGTCACGCCCGTTCTCATGAGTGTCCCCCACTTCTAGGCCTGTGGTCCCAGCATGTGATGTGCTCAGCACGAAGCGCCCTTGTCCTGCAGGGAGCAGGGTCCCAGCCTTCCAGCTCAAACCCGCTTCTTCCTTCCCTGTCCCCCGTGCCTTCCTATTCTGTGGCCTGCTTTCCCGCCTTCGGCTGCTGACAAACACAGAGAACCTTCTCTCCTCCTCCACGGGAAAAAGGTAAACTCTCTTCTGGGCCTGTGATTGCACGAGCAGCTTACTCCCTCTGCTCAGACGGGACGCCATGACGACAGCCACAGCCCTCACTCTCCAGCCACGTGGCTGCCAAGTGCCAGCACTGGGCGTCGGCCGGCCGGGGGAACAGCCCCCGGGTCTGTAGTCATAACAGGAACCCTGCCTGCAGCGTGGGGATTCTCAGCGAGCCGCCTCCCACACCTCACTGTTCACGAACGGAGCGAGGCAGCGAGATCGGGGGCTCATGGCAGAACCCAGAGCGGCCACTCCTGGCCCCTCCACCGGCCCCCCACCCTGACGGGCGTGGCGAGTCCTCCAACCACGTGGCTGCCGAGTGCCAGCACCTGGGTGTGGGGACGGCCAGAGGACAGCCTCGTTCTGCAGCCGAGGAAGCGGCCGGGAAGCGGCAGTCTCCTGGCTGCTCACCTGGCGGTCACTCGGGCTGAAACGTGCACGGCCGCTTGCCGACGCGCTCACTCCGCTGCCTCCTTGCCACTTGCTTCTCGAACCACGGTCGTCGGGGACCAGGCACCATCAGGCACACAGTGCCAATAACCCAGGAGCCCAGCGAGGGCGGGAGGTAGAAGCCCATTTGATAAGTAAGGACACAGGCTGGGGCCAGGTGCTGCAGGTCCTGATTTACCAAGTGACCTTGATTGACAGGCCAGCTCCACAATCCTGCGAATGGATATGAAGGTGACTGTGTGTTTAGGACAAAGGAACCAAAGGCTGAATCAGACCTGCCCCTCGTCCTCAGACGCACACTGTGGGGCAGAGCGTTGGTGTCCCTGGCTTTCAGTGCGTGGCCAGCAACGCCAGCACAGCATGAATGAGCTCCATTCACGACGCGGTCTGCCAGCGGTCGGCGGGAGAGTCTGGTTTGGCGCAGGCTCTGCCAGCCACGCCCTCGAACAGTCCCCTGGCCAGAGCATGGATCCATGGGAAGAGGGAGCGTGGCCATCTGCAGCTCACCACCGCAGCTCTGAAGCGACGCTGGCGTCATGGAACATTAGGGAATGTGATGGAATCCATAGACCTTTCTAGAAACACATCTCCTGACGAACAGTGTGCCTTCAGCATCAGGGTGCTGGAGCTCCCGTCAGTGGCTCCCTGGGTCCTTCATCTGATGAAACACAGACCTGCTGCCTTTCCGATACACGGGAGGCAGTTGTCCTGTTCCTCATTTTAGCCCCGTCAGGAAATGAGAAGTCCTAGCAGGAGGCGGGGTAGCCTCACCTGCCAAGTGTGCTGGCCAGCGTTCTGGATGAAATCCAGAGTCAGGGATGAACCTGGATGACGGGATCGGCCCCTGTGCCCCCTGGAGAAGGCGTGACAGGCTTTGGACCCCTCTCAGCCGCCTCCCCTTTCGGAGAAAGGGCCCTTCTGAGGGAGGGGCCCTGGTGCCCCCGCGTCCGACAGAAAGCAGACGTGTCAGCAGCGGAAACATGTCCCGGCGGCCCCGCAGCAGGGTCCGCTGGAGGAGAGGGAAGGGGAGGAGAACGTGATTTAACATGCGTGTCACCCGCGGCTGGCGATTTATTGCGCCCCAGCCTCCACACCGGCCGTTTCATTAATCCAGAGTCAGCGCAGCGGCAGGCTCTTCTCACATCAGTAACCTGACGCCATTAGTCGCTCCTCTGGGATGAGAACACATTTAAACTGAAAATGAACACGCTGGGCGTAATTTACAGCCGTGCCGCCCGATGCTGAGAGTGCCGGGAGGGAGCTGCCTGGGAGACCGCTCACCGCGCGGGCAGTGCGGCCTCCCCTGATGGGCCAGCCACACCCCTCGGCGCCCAGTCAGGCCGCACTGCAGGCCCAGAGGGATGCCCCCGTGGGCGCCCCTCCTCGTTCTGTCCTGACATCCTTCTGTCCCAATCGGGAGTGATGTTCCACCCATGGGGGCAGCCACGGGCTCCACGGGGAGGGGTCCTGGGCCTTGTGCGTTGAGCGTGTGAAACCCTGGGCACGTGGTCACTGCTGGACGCGTCAGGGAAACCGAGCCTCCTAGGGCCTGAGGTCTGGGGGAGCTCGGAGTGGCCGATGGGCCAGCCACGCCACCCTGCGGGAGATGCCGCGTGGCCTGGTGGGACCTGTAAGCGCCAGGACGCTGTGGGCCACCAGCGCTGGCCTGTGTGCAGCTCACCCTCCACGCTCCCTGCATGGCCTGGTGGGACCTGTAAGCGCCAGGACGCTGTGGGCGCACAGACAGCTGTTCAACACCAGCGCCGGCCTGTGTGCAGCTCACCCTCCACGCTCCCTGCAGCACAGAACCGCCCTGACGCCCCTTCCTCCTCCTCAGCGAACTCGCTGTCTTCCTCCTCAGAAGTGTTTTTAACCTTTTCAGTCCTTTCTATTCCCTGTCGATTCTCAGGCTCTTCGCAGGCCCCCAGCACCTCACTCCTCAGCCACTGCCAAGACCTCCTCCCCATCTGGCTGCAGGGGGCAGGGTCCCTCTCTTCCCTGCCCCTCCTCAGAGCTGCCAGTCAGGTCCCCAAATCCCTGGTGCATCACCTCCCCTTACAGCTCCCCTCTCGCTGCTCACAGACTTACAGTGGCTCCCTCCTCACGGCCACTCTGCCCACGGTCAGTCTTCAGACTGGCATTGATGGTCTTGAACTGCCCAGTTGTATGCTCAGGGGATCCCCACATGAGCCCCCCACCCCAGCTCACCAGCAGCTCTGCGCCCCGCCCCGCCCCCTAGCCCTCATCTCCTGATTCACGGCCTCTTCTTCATCGGCTCCTTGTTTAGTTCATGATGACCAAATTCCTCCTGCATCTCGGTAAATCTACCCATCCATTCGCAAAGGTCTAGCGCTTGCCTCTTCCTTTTTTCTTTAGAAATATTCAAATATGTGCATAGCCATAATTATTATTATTTTGGCTGTTAGGATCTTTTCAAGTTGGGTCCTGTGTCCTATGTGTTCCTGTCAGTTTGGAAACACTTTTACTCCAGGGCACCTTACCTTGGAACAGCCATGGTCCCAGGAGCCCTGGGGAGACACCCTGACCCAGGCACTGTGTTTGCTTGTTGCCACGAGGCTGTCGTTGTTTCTAGGCCTTTTTAAAATCAGTAGTTCACACCGATACCACCAATTAAAGGCAATGTCCACGCTGCGTCTCATCTTCCTCCTTCCATAGTTGTCCTTCCCCCAGACACACAAAGTACCTTTGACGTTACTACTGTAACCACTACCTACCCAGTAAAAGTTAGGATTCCTTTCCAGAGCTTTCGGTTCCTAGGCAAAAAAGTTGTATTGTCAGAATACCGTGTTTAAAAGGGACTTACCTGTGTTATTCTTTTCTGTGTGATTACATGTAATCCATTTGATATCCAATTGGGTTTATTTGTTTCTGGTTTTCTTAAATAATATATTTTATTGATTTTTTACAGAGAGGAAGGGAGAGGGATAGTTAGAAACATCGATGAGAGAGAAACATCAATCAGCTGCCTCCTGCACGCCCCCTACTGGGCATGTGCCCGCAACCAAGGTACATGCCCTCGACCAGAATCGAACCTGGGACCCTTCAGTCCACAAGCCGATGCTCTATCCACTGAGCCAAACCGGTCAGGGCTATTTGTTTCTGTTTTTATTCAGCTTTAGGGTTTGCCCCATTATTGCTGCATGTGAACTTCAATATAAATTTCGCTTTTGCAAACAATGACACAATGAAGACCCTCGTGCAGATGTGTTTTGGTTGTTGGCTGTTTTCGTAGCTGCAGCTATATCTTCGGGGTGACTCCCTGGAAGTGGACTTGCTGAGCCAGAGGCCAGTGTGTCTGTCATTGTATTGGGTGTGGCCACGTGGGCCTGGAGGAGGGCGGTGTGGCAATGCCTGCCTGTGTCCCGCAGCCTTGTCAACAGAGTGGGTGGTTTAACTTCTGGATTTTTTGCTGAGTTAATTGATAAAAACAGTATCGCAATCTAGTTTAAAGTGGCATTTTTCTTATGAGTGAAGCTGGGTGTCTTCAGATATCGAAACGCCCTCTGTCCTTCCGTGGACTATCTTTACATGTCCCCTGTCCATTTTCTACGGTTTTGTTACGTCCTTCTTTATCTTTGTTTTTTATATATTGGGAAGATTTTCCATTTGTCATATTTAATCTCTCAGTTTGTCCTTTGTTTTCTGACTTTGCTTTAACCTGCTGCCCTGCGTTCCTTCGGATGACATTTTTAAAACAAGTCATGAGAACTCCGCTCCATGGTAAACCGGGATCCGGCTGTGACATTGAGCACGGGCCACCCTCCCCTTTGGTTCCTGATTGTTAGGTTCACGAGTCGAGTTGATATTTAAAAGTTCCGTCTTCCGCAGCCAGGCTGTGGTCTCCTCGTCTTCC